TCACCGGACCGCGGTAGGTTTTACTGCTGTCCCGACTCTTATTCTCCCGTCTGTTCTAGAATATTTGCCAACCGCCCCACGCGATCAGATGTGGTACAAGAACGAATTTAACGTGGGGTATCCGAGCCGTAGGCTCAGGTAAAAATTCCCCGTATACCCTGTAAAAAAAACGGGGTCGGGTAGCTGTCTACCACCCCAAAAGACACTCTGTCCTTCGGCATAACCTCGTCTGGGTTCCTCTCTTCCCGAAGGCAGAGAGTTCGACTAGCTTAGCTGGAGACGAATCTCCAACTAATTGCCGTCTGTTCTATTTTCCGTATTTGGCGATATTTGACCCTTTGAAATTTTTGATTCTACAACTTATCCAGGTCTTGTTAGATTCTCTATTTATCTGATTCGATCATTATCTTGCTAAGTGATGTCCTGATCGGATCGTAGTTAATATTCTACCTGACGAGTGCCTGACTTACTCTTTCAACACCTTTTTTGCTCTCCTTGAACTGGTTGGTTGTCTGATTTTGTCTAGCGGCTTATCAACCGTTATGGATAACTAGGATGGGGAGTTATCATTATTTACACAAAATCTTCCGAAATATTTTTATGAAAACCATTTTATTCTCATAAATTCATACCATTACTAAGATTACAGCGAGTAAAAAATTCGCTATAAGAGAGAGAGCCTCTCATAGTCTTGGCTTGCGACTAGTCTAGAAAGAAAACACTGAATTCAAACCAACGAAAAGGTTGGGCTCCGTCAGGCTGTCTTGTTCAGGAAACACCACTGTTAGTGCAGCTACAGTGTATGTGGTGACCCTTCGAACGTAACTGCGTTACGAGATTCGTGAACGCAAAACCACTTTTCTGCTAAATTCTATATTCCATTGTATTAAACTGATGCAAAAATCTCCAGTATTGTATGAATAAAATATTATATATATATATATATATATATATATATATATATATATATATGGTATAAAATGACAAGTGGAAAAAAATCTTAGATTTTGCCGACGCGTTTCGTCTTCCGACTTTTTTTTCCGACTGAAAATTTAACTATATATATATATATATATATAGAGAGAGAGAGAGAGACAGAGAGAGAGAGACAGAGACAGAGATAGAGACATAGAGACAGAGACAGACAAAGAGAGAACGAGAGATAGATAGAAAGAGACGGGGAGACAGAGAGAGAATGTTGTTGTGTGTTTGTGATTATTCGTACATTTTATTTGACTTTGCACGACCTGTCAGTTAAATTCTCTTTTACGTCATATTAAGCTGATGAAAATGCTTCCAGCATTTCTAGTAAAATCCCTTTCTTATTCTTATGAATTTATAATATTATTTAACTATTTTTTAATGATTTTTAATGACCTTACGCCAGTCTTCAGCCAGATTGTTTATCCTATCATGTACGCGCATGCGCGAATTTTTAAGATCCTTTAACGAAATGCTAACGATAGAGTAATAAGATGATGTCTCAAAAGATTAATTAAATATTATTTGCTACGAGTAGTTATTCAGGGCATAGCAGTTTTTTCACATACCATTTTGACATTACCTCTCAGATCCCAAGACTGCAAAAATTCTTATTCCACATCGCTTTTTTGGAGGCCAGTCTGGAGCCTCGCTGCTGTTTAAGGACAGCCTCTTTCGTTACAGAGCACACAAAGCTTTTTTGTAGGTTTTAAACTAATGTAAGAGAATGGTAATTAATATCGATGGTCGACTCTGTCCATAGGTGTTTGTGTGTATGTATTCTTGCGTATATTTGTGTGCGCATGCTCATGTATCTCTGTCTTTTTAATCATTTCACCACCATGCTAAAGCCATTGAGTTGGAAGGGGTTATTAAGTGTGAAAGAATCTGAGAATGTTTTTTCTTTCGCATTATGAAGCAGAAAGAACAATAAAAGAAAAGAGAATATAACGATTGACGTTGCATTTATATTTTTGAAGATCAAAGTTGACTGAAAAGCAGAAGCCGGACGAGAGTTCCACAGACGAGACATGTGCGAGAAGAAACTATTAGCATAAAACATACGGTTATATCAAGCAATTTAAACTGTAAAATCATGAGACCTAGCCGTCAATCCAGTAAAATTCGTAAATGTATCAATGAGCAAAACTTACCAGGAAGTTTACTATGAAATATTTATAAAAGAAAAGGAACAGAATAGCTACGTTAGGTGGGTTGAAAAGTGACAGAAGCCGAGATGCCAGGTCAGGTCCAATAATAATGAAGATTCCTCTTTGAATTTTATCAAGCATTTCTAAATACATAACAAACCATAGTTGACAGCAATATTCAATCCATGTATGAATGGTAGACTTATAAATGTGCAAGACATATTCTTGCGAGAAAAATTGTCTACAAAGACACGATGAATCAATATTCCTTGAAGCAGACCTAGCATTTGAATCAGTTTAATCTTTCCACTTCATGCGAGCAAAAAAACATTAGCCTGAGAAGGTGTAATGAGTCACTCTCCTGGTGGTTAGCATCAGCCATACTGATGAAGGACAAGAAAAGTTCTACAAGGACGATTACTTTTTTTTTATTTTTGTTTTACCAGGTTTTGAATTATGGTACTTTGTGTCCTCCACGTGTTTTGACTGACCTTATAACAACCTGATGAATATTCAGGAACGTTCTCAAACTTAAAACCCTTAATAAACCAATGACATCCTTGATTTTGTATTTAAACACGTGCAACATAATAAATCTAACATTTGCTTTGATAAATGTCCCTCAAAGAACGAAACGCGTTGACTAAGAATAGTTTTTTTTCTGTTGTCTTTTTATTCAATGTATTCCTTTACTGATACACTCGGAAAATAATTCACACACACACATACACACACGCACACACACACACACACACACATATATATATATATATATATATATATATATATATATATATATATATATATATACGTACTAGCAGTAGAGCCCGGCGTTGCCCGGGGATGTAACAGTAAGAGATAGATCAAGTATCGACCATCATAAAGACTGAAAAATAAAATTGACAAAGATTATTGTTTAAGGTTGACGGACACGCATGTCTTAATTAGTTTTTGTTTTTGTTTTTTTGTTTTTACGAATTGGTTAAACTCAAACTCAAACAAAAACATTGTTTTCAATCGTTATGAGTCTACCGATTGAATAGAATTTTTATTATAAACAATTGTTTTGTAAATGGAATTTTTAAAACATTCTGAATGTAAAAATAAAGAAAAAAAGTGTGCAAGACAATATGAAACACTACCTGTCAAAAAAAAGTGAAGTTTTGTTGAAATCGGTTGAAAAATGTAGGAACTCCGATCCCATATATAAACGAACACACACACAAACAAACAACCTGGGTTTTATAATAAGTATAACTCGATATGAGTTGTCCCCCTTTCATTAATGCCTCTTAATCGTGTTTTCACATTGATTTCATGGAAAAACAAGTGTGCTTTTCCAATTTTTGGCGCTGTCAGAACCACCGCAAGGTAATTTTACGTAGTCCTGTGAAGTTTTGTTGAAATCGGTTGAAAAATGTAGGAAATCCGATCCAATATATAAACGAACACACACACACACAACCTGAGTTTTATAATAAGTATGATATATATAAACAATAGAGGATCATTTTGTTGTGATTAAGGGGCGCAAAGATATAGAAATACCTGGGATGCTGTTCATGTACGCGGTAACCCCACTAGGAGTGATGGACCCCAGAGTCTTCTGTAAGATTTCCAACAAGATGGAAAAAATAATATATAACACTTTTAGCTTGATAATACCCAACTGGTTATTTTAGGAAGATTTTTAGGATTTTTAAATCATTTCACCCCAAGCAAAGCGACAATGCGATTAGTACACGGGGAGTGGGGTTATAGGGAATGAAAGTGAAAGCTGAGAATAGGGCAAATTGAGGAAAGGACAAAAGATGAAGAGGATTTTAGAAGACAAAAGATGGCGATTGATGTTCCATTTAAATTTTTGACAATTGTAGTTATCAAGAAAGTAAGGAAAGGGAAGAGCATTCCACAGGCGGGAAGTGCGAGAAAAGAAATTGTTGGAGTATAAGTGACGATTGTAGTTAGACATTTCAACAGTAAAATGTGGGGCATAGATTCCAGTCTAGTAGCACGCTTAAATTCATGCCGTCAACGTACCAGGGGAAAAAACCTGGTCATAGCAATTGCCATGAAAATATTTGTAGAAGCCCCGTCACGTCGGTGAGAAAGTTGAAATGCCAAGTCGGGATTGATTACATTACAGACCTTTGGATTTTGTATAGAATCTCTAGACGTACAGCAGGACCACTAGACCAGAGATGGAAACAATATTCGATGCGCGGACTAATGGTAGATTTGTAAGTGTCCAAGATGGATTCTAATGAGATAAAACATTCTGGCACAACACAATGACCCAACTTTCCTTGCAGTAGATGCAGCTATTGATTCGATATAATCACTCTACATCATTACATGGGAAAACATAAGGTCAAGAAGGCGCAGTGTGTTTCTTAGTGGGAAATATGCTGTTCTCGCTCAGATAGTGGGATTGGCCCAGTGCAACGTCTTCCTCCACTTTAAAAATACACAGGCATTACTTGGTATCACAAGCCGCAATTGAGTCACACTCGAATGTTAGGGGGGGGGGGTCTATCTAAATGTTCGGATAATGTGAACAGCATTTCATACGATTTTTTGCCGCCATCCTTTGAGAGAGTTGTTCTGTGTATTCAAGTGAAATGACCAGGAAATGATATCACTACAATAGAGAATGCAGGAACCGGTTGTTAGGATAAGTAATGCCTTGAAACTTTGAGTAGCACCTCGTACATAGGAGGGGTAGTGAATAAATCTCAACCCAGCTCTCGGATCAAAAATGTTTTCGTACATATACTTCATCTAATTTCTTTCTTTTTTCTTTCTTCCGTTCGTTTTATTTTTGCTATTCAAGTTTCATTCTTTATATTAACCGTTGGTGCTTTTTCCATGATCTTCTTCTTCTTCTTCTTCTTCTTCTTCTTCTTCTTCTTCGTTTTCTTCTTCTTCATCTTCATTTTCTTCTTCTTTTTCTTCATCTTCTTCTTCTTCTTCGTTTTCGTCTTCTTTTTCTTCTTCTTCTCGGTTTACTTCTTCTTTGTTTTTTTCTTATTATTATTCTTATTCTTATTCTTCTTCTTCTTCTTTTTCTTCTTCTCAGTTTACTTCTTCTTCTTCGTTTTCTTCTTATTCTTCTTCTTCTACGTTTCTTCTTCTTCTTCTTCTTCTTCTAACTAAATGATTTTACTTTCTTTATTATCATTTCTTTAATCGATATTTTTGGAAAATGTTCCATTTCTTCTTTTCGACTTTCTTTTTCATTTCATTCATTCATTTTTATTCAACCATATATATATATATATATATATATATATATATATATATATATATATATTTGGTAGATGTTCAGGTGGTGTAGGTAGTAGATAAGAAAAAATATTGATATCAGAGCATTTACAGGCAAAAGAGTGTCTGCCTTTATCAAACGCCATCTTTAAATAGGAGTGTCTTTGCCTCTAATCTGGACTTATTGAAGTCATCGAAGCTCAGACTATATATCATTTTCATTCATCACCAATTTCCGCTTCCTGTCTTTCTTCTGTTTATTTCCTCTTTGTAAACTCCCCTCTCTCTCTCTCTATCTCTCTCTCTCTCTTTCACATCTCTTTCCATTTCACTTTTGTCTTTTTACCTCCCCTTTCGCTTTCTTTTATTTCTTTATTCAACAGACTTTCCTCCTTTTCTTTTTGGCTGTCACTCGTTATTTCTTCTTTTATTTTTCCTTCATTTTATATTTCCTTTCTCCTGTAATCTTTTACTTTTCTTTCTCTTTTCTTTTTTTCTTTTTTTTCTCTTTTTCACTTCTCTGTTCTCCTCTCACTAATTTTCCCATTGCTTTCGGGGTTCTTTTTATACTCGTCTTCTTCCACGTTCATTTTTCGTTTTTCTTCTAGCATTCATTTTTTTTTTTAATTATCCTTGTCATCCACCTTCGACTCTTTCTCCTTTATTTTCTCCTCTCTTTTTCAATTATTTCCTCTCCATTTTCACTATTTTTCTCATTCTCGCCCTTGGGTTGGGTATTTGTCGTGGTGTATTGGTTAACAAGTTAGATCAATTAGTTCGATCCTCACTGGGAGCCCCATACTTTCGGCTTTGTGCCACATCTATCTACGCTTGGAAAATCACCATATTACTTGGGCACTTCGACGTGGCATATTCGTTAGCAAGCTAGTCTTGCTAGATCAATTATCACTAAACAGTGACTTCGATACGTACTGGGTGCCTCATAGCTTCAGCCTTGTGTCACTTCTAAGCTATGCTTAGAAAATCCTCACATCTTCTTAGGCAATTTGACGTGGTTTAATCGTTATCAAGATTCTTTCGCTAAAACAGTTACAAGTAAAACGTGAGTTCGATAGTCAATAGGAGCCCCATGCGTCCGGCCTTATGCCAAATCTAAGCTACGCTTAGAAAATCATCACACTCTCGTTTCGTTTTCTCTTTCTTTTCCTTTAACACTCCATTCCTTTTTTTTTGTTCAACTCCCTTTTCTCTCTTTTGCTTTCACCTTCTCTCTTATTCAATTCCATACAATCTCACCTCACGCCTTTTTTTCGCTCTCTCTCTATATATATATATCTTTGTCCCTCTTTTTTCACCCTCACGTTCCCTGCTTATTCGCTTTTACACCGCCTCTTCAATTTTTATCCATTTTTCGTTTCTATCATCACTTCTTTAAACGTCGACATTTTCACTCCCATTAATCAGGATTATGTCGTCTGCTTATTTCATGTTTCTTTTTCCCCTTAATTTTGGACGAATTTCCTCTCTTCCTCTTTCCTATTTATCTCATAAAATGGCTTCCTTACCTAACCACTTTATCTATACTTTTAAATATTTTGATTAATACCAAATAGAGTTCGCCACTTTTTCTCTTCAATCTATAAATAATAAATCATTTGTTTCCGCCATTTCTTCTTCAACGTTTCTCGCCTTCCTTCTTGTCTCTCTTTTCAAGCCTGTCGTCTCTGGGCTAATTTAATCAGACAGTCTATTTTATTCTATCTCTGTTTCTCATCTATCCACCTGTCTTGGGACAGCTTGGGAAGGGGGAGCGGGCTGATATATTTGCGCTCATATCTGAAATGGAGAAATCAGCTTTCTTCAGTTCAGATTCGCATATTACAATCTTCGTTGTACAATAGTTGCCAGTGCATTGATGTGCGTGTAAAATCTCTAATAGTCACTGCTGAAACATCTGTCTTTTTACTGTGCCATTTCGAAAAAATTAATAATTTATTTACCCTCTTTACATAGATATAGTCACGTATATTGGGTGCGATGGATAAATTGTCGTCTAAATTACGCAATGATGAAAATAACACTGACATGTTATTTTAACGGATGTATTTACAAAAAAATTACACCAAAATATCTTTTAATACTAAAGAGTAAATTTCTTCATTAAGATCGCCATTGACTTCAACTGCAGCCTCCAGAAGGCTTCGCAAATCTCCTGCAACTCTTCTGGGTGATCTCCTTTTTGAAGTTTATGTATAATCCTTGTTCATCTTTGGTGTTACAAGGAGTTTTGTTGGTCTCTCGCTCAACTGTGCCCCACACATAATAATCAAGCGGGTTGCAGTCTAGGGAGTTAGGTGACCAGACGTGAGGGGTGGTGTGGTCGCAGAAATTGATTGACAGTCATGACAGTGTTCTCCTACTTGTGCGGCCCGGTGTAGATTCCAGTTACCAGACATAGGGTTTTCCAGCAGCAACCCTCTTGACCCAGAGCAGGGCCAACTCCTCCAGACACTTGATGTAGGCCTCTGTATTGAGTCTAAGACCACCACCAACAAACTCGGGAGTTCTTTTCTTATCACAACGGTCATGGTGAGTTTTCTGATCTGACGTATCTTCGTAATCACCATTAGTCTCATCAAACTCTTTCCGAATCCTCTCCACTCTCCTCATATTGACACCAAAACACACTGAAATTTTCGTATTGGAGAATGCCAAGCCGTACAGCATGCCGTTTCCAAATTTCTGGCGGAGTGAATTGCATCATGGTGCTTTTTTCACACAGAAGGGGCCCAATTGACCATAATATACTGTGAAGCCGAAAAATCAAAAGCAAACAACCCGCATGCGCGATATTAAAATTATTATATGGCGACAATTTACCCCTCGTATCCTGTACATAGTCACTCCATTTGCCTCAGCCTAATACAATTCGTGAAAGCAATACAAATGAAGAATGGGCTTACGGTCACATCACATTGAATCACCTCTTCCCATGCGATCATCGAAGTTGAGCAACGTTAAGCCTGCTCAGTACTTAGATGAGTGACCGTTTTGGGAATGTCATGTTCTGTAAGCTTAGATGTGCTGACAGTGTAATGTATCATGGCTCGGAATTGTTAATCGGATAGTTAAATTCTAATTCCAGTCGGGTTCGTTATATTCACTCACGCGTAAATACACTTGGGATAAGTATGCATCCACCTGTTCTTCCACCTATGGGCTAATTACAAAAAAGTGTCTCACTAAAACCATTATTATACCCGAAAGTAAAATAAGATTGCGTAAAAAATATTTAGATTTCGACATTAAATAACCCATATAGGTGTTGATATGTCGCTGGACAAATACAACCAGCCAACCAACAAATTCAAAAGCAGGTGCGTTTATATTCTTTAGGGCATTTGACAATGTATGGCACAAGGATCTATTTGAGCTGGTGGGAATCAAGATGTATTTGGAATAATCTAGATCTTATAATGGGAGCATACTGCCTGCATAGAAAATAAATTGAGTAGCTATTTTGATTAGCAATTCACCCCAAGCAAAGCGATTATGTCATTAAGATGCAATGGACTGCTGGGAGTGAAAGAGAATGAAAAGACTTTAGAAGAAGCCAGAAACCCAATCCTAAACAGGAAACAAGGGATAAACCTCTACTCATGTTCCTAAGACCAGGGAAGTGTGCGAACCGGGCGATAGACACAATTAATGAAATACAAAAATATAAGGATGCGTATTCTACCCAGACTTTTATAGCGACGCCATCCTAAGCAAAATGGAGATCCTACCAGGATTTATTAATGGTGGACGTAACCTTAACAATATAAGATATGCAGATGACACTGTGTTAATGATCAACTCGGAAAGAAGACTACAGGACCTCCTAGACTGGGTGCTAAAAGAAAGCGAGAAAAAAAGACTAAACTTCAATTTCCACCTTTTGTTAAAACGATTCCAAAATATTAGAATTTCTGCACTTTTTTCCAATACGTAACTCGTCTTTTTGGCTTTTATCCCTTACTACTGGCTATAATTCTGTCTCCTTACAGGTGAAGTTTAGTCCTTTTTAATTGAGTGTATTGCAATCGTTTCCAATCAATGGGAGGGCTCCAACTACAACAGGAATTGTTGATGTTCTTATATGCCTTAAAGAAATACAAAAAAAGTCTCTCACGAGTACGGCCTGCACTTTACGAAGGGCTTTATCTATGTAAAATATGTTTGCTTGTTTTTTTTGTTTGTTTTTTTTTAATTTGTCCAGAGGAAGATGTCATGATGACATTTCTGACCTTAGGTCTTTGGTCTGGACACCAACCATACCAGAAATCAAAGGAAATATTAATAATCTCCATCTATAAAAGGCAGGATGTGTGTGTGTGTGTGTGTGTGTGTGTGTGTGTGTGTGTGTGTGTGTAACGAATGCACGGCCGCAATTTTCGACGGATTTGCACCAAAATTTATATGCGCATGCTCCAAGTTAGCGGGTAAGGCCAAGACCGACTTGGCATTTCCCAACTGCCATCGGTAGTGGAAATAATCGGTTTTTTCATGCTTCTACGGTAGTTTTCATGTAGTTTGCGGCCATTTTGTACTGGCCAGAGTGAGAGCCAATAGCTGGCTGTCACGAATAGGCAGGAAGATTCTATTGGCCAGCGTGAGAGCCAACAGCTGACTGACACGAATGTTAACTAGCATGCTAGCATGCAAAAAGAAATCGATAGTTGCCTTCGTCACAAGTGGGAAAAATTTAAATCTGCATGGCACTTTACTCTAATTGGCTCATTCGCATGCTTAAACTCAACATTGATTCTGATTCCGATGAACTGGGTTGGGTGTGAAAAAGTATTTGTTGTTAACATTCTTTTTTCATTCGGTTTTTACAGTTACGAATCCTTTTTTAAAGCTGATCATTTTGTCTTCATTTTGTTTAGTTCTTTTTTCGTAACAGTTTTAATGTTTAGTATAGAGCTTAAAAAAATTCGCAGTGAGATAGGCAAGAAGTAAGACATGTAGCATCATCAATCATGTAAGATTATTATTACTATTATTATTTGTTTGTCATGTTACTTACATTGTATCCTGTAGAGCCGGGTCCAAACTATAGTCTTTAGGCCCTGTATGAGAATTGCCATTTAATTGATAGCACTTTTCTTAGAATATGGGATGTTCTTAGTAGGGCGATCGCCTGAACAACTTTTATGTTGATGTTACCTGGGTCACTGTTAGAAAAAATGTCCATTCCTTTTTTACCAGAGCTCTGATTGCTTTTGGTACAGTATCAGTTCTCAATCCCCACATACTGTTAATCGCGATCTCCAGGTCCTGGTATTTGAACAATTTCTCGATATTTTTTATGGAGATTTTTTTCTCAGATGGTACTGCTATGTCAATAAGCATACATTTGCTGAATTTCTTGTCTTTTATGATAATATCAGGTCTTTCGTCTTTTATTTCCCTGTCAGTTTGAATTGGCATATTCCAGAGGATAGTTACATCGTTATTTTAGGTAACTGTGCCTGGTTGGTGTACATACCTTCTCTCAGTGGTTTCGATTTTGTGCTTCTTGAATATCTTCCAGTGCACATATGTCGCTCCCTTATTATTATTATTATTATTATTATTATTTTCTTTGATTTCTGGCGTTTACACATTTCTTTCCGGGTCCCGCCCGGGGGCCTAAGGTTAGAAATGGCATCATGACACTTTCCACTGACAAAAAAAAAAAAAAATTACATAGATAAAGCCCATCGTAAAGTGTGGGCTGTACTTGTCAGAACAATTTTTTGTATCTCCTTGAGGCATGGACTTCCAGGAATCCCTTCAATTAGTCTACTGTAATCTTTTCCAACCAGTCCTAGGGCTCCAATTACAACAGGGATTGTTGATGTTCCCATATGTCATATTTTCGAGATTTCTATTTCAAGGTCCTTTTTTAAAGCTCTTTGAATATCTTCAAAGATACATTGCAGTCAGCAGGGACTGCCATATCAATAAGGAGGCACCGTTTATTATTATTATTATTATTATTATTTCTCCGACAAATGTTAGGTCAACCCGTGGAAGGATTTTCAGAAACGTCCCAACTGGGCCGCATGATGTCATCATCTTTCAAATCGATATTATCAAGAGGTCACCTTCTTGACAAATCGAGCATGGTGAGATTCGAACCCCGGATATCATCGCTGGGACGCGAAGATTCTAACCACTCTAATCAGTTGAAACCGTAATTTACAATAAATATCCGTTTGATGAAATTATCTTCCCATTTCACCTTCTGATTTAATTATTATATAATGAATGTTTCCGACGAACATCCTCATCTTGGTCACATTTTAATAAAACGTTTCGGCACCGTTAAACTTTTTCCTTTCTTACCTCAGCATTATATCTCTGAAAAATACTGTCCCTCTCTTTCATGGTATCTTTTCTATGTACTGACTTTTATTTATCCATCTAGCGATAATTTAATTTTATTATATATATATATATATATATATATATATATATATATATATATATATATATATATATATATATATTATATTATATTTTTAGCTAACAACTTCTATGAGATTAAATTATATTTATTTTTTTATTTAAATGCTTCCTTCCTTTCTTTCTTCACTCTCTCCTCCTATGTCTTTTCTCTTAAATGTTCTTCATTTCTCTCTCTCTCTCTCTCTCTCTCTCTCTCTCTCTCTCTCTCTTTTACGTTCAATCAATGCAAATATTCGATTATCTTTCATATCACCCCATTACTCCCCACCGTAGCATCATCATTCCAACTCGTAAATGACATTCTTCAGTTCATTTATTCCGAATAACATTCGCGTTATTTTGTATATATATATATATATATATATATATATATATATATATATATATATATATATATATATATATTTTATTTTTATTTATTTTTTTTTTTTTTTGTTCGCAGCATCCACAAGATCAGCCACTTAAACACGTGCGCAATTCGTACCTTCCACTACTTCGATCATTTTCGCATTTCGAAAAACACGCAATTATCAGGGGAGTAGAAATACTTTCTGTTTAAAGTGCGTTAAACTCCACTGGGAAATGAATGCATATACACGCAAGCTTAGACGGTGTGCACACGAACCCATAATCAGGAATAAACTTACGTAGGAATACATTTATTAGCATGCTCCATATTAAATTCATGTTAACATCCTCCGTTCACACACCTCATATACTGCACCGTGCATCTTTAATCAATTAGACACGCACATACACACACACACACACACACACACATATATATATATATATATATATATATATATATATATATATATATATATATATATATATATATATAGAGAGAGAGAGAGAGAGAGAGAGAGAGAGAGGGACGGACAGAGAGAGGAGGTACGGTGGAGTAGTGGTAGCGCCTCGGACTGAGGTCTCTGACAGCCGAGTTCGAATTCCAGTCGAATCCATTACATTCACTGAATCCTCTTCTTCAAGGTAATTAGGAGGACAGACTGGGTTCTTGGATGGCAACTGGTCTAGGAATAGGACAACTCTGAATTCAAAACCTGCGGAAGGCTGTTTGGGGACCTTGTGGCACGTTAGCCTCTGTATTCGGCCTTTCAAAAAGTGTGGTTGGTTCTGCACAACTCCTTCACCACTATAATCAAATCATATATGCTGGTCTCTGGCTGCCGATAAGGTTGCTGACCCTCAGACGTCGAATACGACAGGAGTGCATGTATGTATATGTATGTATGTATATGTATGTTTGTATGTATGTATATATTGTGAGTGAATCTCAACATAGTCGACTTGACACGATTTTTAATGACTTCCCTTGTAGGCGATCCCACCCAGCGTACGTCGCTGTTTAAAAAAATGCCTGGAAACCATACCACGTGTTGTCCCAAACTCTGTTAATACAGCTGGGTATACTCGACACTTCAGAAGCTATAGTGTTAGTAACATCTTTTACGGATGTGTTGGTATTTGGTAGATATTTTGACATTTTGCATTGACTGGTTATTGCTATTATCACCTTATATAAAGAATCTTTAGTCAACAGTTGCATATTAATTTACATAGTAAGTCTATACGTATAAATTATTTACTGGTTTCTTAAAGAAGCTATTTATTTATTTATCAATTATAATTTGTTTTTATGTAGGAAACTCACAAAGCATATAACTTGTCAAGCATTTTGTAAGATTACCACTTCATATTTCTTAGGAAAGGACAGTGTCTAATATATATATATATATATATATATATATATATATATATATATATATATATATATATATATATTGAACAATAAGAAAATAAAAATTAAAATCTTTGGACACACTAGGTTGTAGATTAATATTCTTTCGTTTTTTTTTATTATTATTCCATTTAGATTCCTCGACTAGTTTCGACTGAAATGGCCATCATCGGGAGGAGAAATATTTCTGCTTGCTGGTAGCAGTGAACTACAGAAATGAATGTCTTGATGGAGAAAATGAACTTTTGTCTGTAGTTTTCAATTGTTTTTTTTATTTTTTATTTTCTTATCTTTTTGACATGAATCTTTTAACATTCCTTGTGTTGGTCAAACAGTCTCTTTTAAGTTGTTATCTGAAATAAGAGCTGGATAGATACATATTATTCTGAATTCTCTGGTCAGTTTGACAGTTTTATTGGACCTGGTGAGGGGATGTGTCTCTGTATAGTTTGCGTGTGTGTTACTTGGTTCTTAGGGAGTGAGTGAGTATGATATGTGTAAGCGTGTGTATTGCTGTAGGTGTGTGTTATCATTTGGCTCCTTAGGGAGTGAGTGAGTATGATGTGTGTAAGTGTGTATATTCGTGTGGGTGTGTGTATAAGCGTGAGGCCTCCACACCTCCGTAAGCATGTCTGTCTTGTGTGGGTGAGAAGTGTAGGTAGGTTTTGATTTGTTTACTATCTATATATTGTTAAATTTATGATTTAGCCCGGCTGGATATTGTGTTTTTAGACGTTGTATCCACTTATTTTCATGGGACTCTAAAATCTTTCTAATGTTATCTGCTCTGAACTTTATATATATATATATATATATATATATATATATATATATATATATATATATATATATCCCCTTACATCCGCTCCTGTTTAACGTCTGTTGCTGTCATTGATTTCTATTCAACGGGTCATGATGACATTTCTGACCTTAGGTCTTTGGTAAGTTTAAATTTAAAGTAGGTCATGTTCGATTGGTTGATCTGAGTAAAGCCCACAAACTTTATAACTACCCCATTGTTTTTCGTAAAAAGAAGCTGTATTTTGCTTTTAAATTTAAATAAATCATTCACTCATCAGTAATTTACAATCACCTGATGAGATGCGTTGATACGCATCGAAACACGACTGCAATTGTGTAGCGATTTTGACGTTTTTTGCGATGTTATATCCAAAAATAAAGAATATTATATATAATATATTATAAAGAATATTGATCTACTTTGTATTGAGCCCACTTTTAAATTAAATGTTACGAACGTTACAATTGTACTTTGTTCGCTCTCATCTTACCTGAAAAAAAAAAATATATATATATATATATATATATATATATATATATAATTGGCCAACAATCCGTCTTTTATACAAATTTCACTAAAGACGACTGACAAGGTACTGGTTTTTTTATTTCATTTTTCTTGCGTTCCTATATATTTTTGTTTTTTCTGGATATAAAATATGTAAAAATTGCCCGAATGTTCTGTATGTTTGAGCGCTTTCGGCTATTCTATTAACTATTATGAAGGATGATTTTAATTTTTAACTGAATGTATGGAGTTTTTATGTATGAATCTAGAGTTATAATTTACATTGTCCTGATCTTTGCTGTTATTAACACAACGTTTTGACTCTACTCCCCGGCCTTCTTCAGGTATTTTTTCATTCAAGGAATGTCGATATATTTGATTTAACTGAATCGTTTTTTACGGCTTATCTACCCTTCTCTGTTTATTTAAAACGAGAAAATATATTTAGATTGTCAGTGTTTGGGGGCTGCAAATTATAATGGTTTAGTGACACATGTCTTACTAATTAACCCATAGCTTGGGGAGAAGAGGTTGACTCATGCCTTATCATAATTTGATAAACAAGGAAGAAATTATAATATGCATATAAAATGAGGGATCAAGTCTATATTACCATCAATACATAAACTGGTCCCTCACTTTGTGGCCACGGTAGTTTCTATATATTTATACTCGAGAGAAATTAATTATTTTGGAGATGTAATCACGACATTTGGAAAAACGTTCATGAAAGTATTTTTCGAAAATAATATCCGATAATGCATAATTTCCTATATGGCTTCATCAGATGGATAACGAAAAATATGTAGTGTGTGTATGCATTTGTGTGTGTTTAAAATCGTTAAATCTTATATTATTTTTCCAAAACTGGCGTTGCTCGAGACTAAAACTGAAGTGTAGTGTTTACCTAACTCCACTCACAGACGCAACTCGAAGAATAAATACATATATATATGTGTGTGTGTGTGTGTGTGTGTGTGTGTGTGTGTGTGTTCGTCGCCTTATTTGAGCCTAGCAGCAATATACTACAGAACGTCAATTTTTTATTATTTCAAACGCTATAATTATTAAAGTAATAAAAAAATAATGGTGGATTATAAAATATTTCTAATGCGAATTTTCACCCAATGTAAGGCTCAAGATTTACTCAAGGTAGAGAGTTTCTGTGTGGGTTGAACGTAATTAAGGTCAAGTAGTCATATTCATAAGAGTTATGAAGGAAAGATAACAGTTAGTCTTGAATCGATCAAGATTGCAATGATTGGGAAAACATCCTACCGTTTGTCTGTTCCACAGGCAGCAGGTCTCGGGAAGATGGTCTCTGAATGAAACTTCCTCCTTACTAATGGAATAAGAAGGAAATGGCGATGATTACAGTTGTAAAGTTCAGAGGTGGTGAAACTAAGGAACGTGTCTCGCGAGAACATACACGTCATGGAAATAGCGATAGAGCGGTGAGTCTTTCAAAGACACACCTGTGAGAAAAGGGTTGTACCGTAGAAAATAATTCCTCCTCCACAAGGCCGCGTAAACGCTTTTGAACTCTGTCAATATAGACAAGAGGGGATTGGACAGCTCCAGCCAAGATATGGTAACGATACTTCATTTCCGGTCTGATCTGGCTCTTGTAAAGGCAGAGAATAGCCTTGAGTCAGATATTTCTTGCAGGCATATAATCAACCAACCATCTTTCAATTATCTTTCTGAACCGATCGTATATATCAGTTCCACATCAAGCCTGGAGTCAGCTCGAGTCCCAATAGACGTTTTAGACAAGGAGCGTACGCGAGAGAATACCTATCCATCATAATAGGTGAAAGATCAAAATCCATTAAACTGCTTAGAAATTTAGATAGATAGATAGATAGATAGATAGATAGATAGATATGAACAGACTAGGATAGATAGATATGAACAGACTAGGATAGATACATACATATGAACAGACTGATAGACAGATATGAACAGACTAAGATAGATAGATAGATAGATAGATAGATAGATAGATAGATAGATAGATATGAACAGACTAGGATAGATAGATATGAACAGACTAGGATAGATACATACATATGAACAGACTGATAGACAGATATGAACAGACTAAGATAGATAGATAGATAGATAGATAGATAGATAGATAGATAGATAGATAGATATGATCAAAGATACATGCATACATACATACAGACTGATAGATAGATAGAGAGATAGATAGATAGATAGATAGATAGATAGATAGATAGATATGAACAAAGATAGATAGATACATACATACATACATATGAACAGACTGATAGATAGATATGAACAGACTAAGATAGATAGATATATAGATAGATAGATCGGTCGCCTAGCCACACAGAGGAGCTGTGATACAGCGAAACAATCTGTCTGTGGATGTCGTACACTTACATACATATATATATGTAAGATTGCATAAGCATAAAAATGTCTTTATATATATATATATATATATATCTTCTGCTCATACATTTTTATGGATATAACTCATTTGAGTAAATGATTTGTTGTTTTATCTAAACAGTATTAATTACATTTGCCGACTTGAATATTCTAGAAATTTAGCAGAATATATGAGTCTTCCGAGAAGAATTGAAACTTTATCCAAAATTAAACCATCATTTCGCGTGACGTGCTGTTAAAACATAGCATTTACTCAAGTTGTATCGATAAAAATATAAATAGAAAATATATAAAATATCTGTCGGATTTAATTCATTACATATGACATATTGTCATTATTTACGTTAGGTTATGTTTCTAAGCAGAAATGATTTATCGAGAAAGGTTGTTGAATGTGTGTGTTTATAAACAGTAATTTGAGCTTTGCTAAACCCGAATTCCTCGGTGATTGAATTGCTTAACAGCACGTCAGTCTAAATGACAGTTCAATTTAGAAAAATATATTAAAATATATTAAGATATCTAACGGAAATAATCCACTACATATAATATATTTATTTATTTAATCGCTTCACCCTGTGCAGTGCGATAATCCCACTAGGTAGTTCAACAGTAAAATGATGAGACCTAAATGCCAATCTAGTAGCATGCTTAAATTCATGTAGTTGAGGCACCAGATAGACAAACTCATCAGAACAGTTACTTTGTAGAAAAGACAGAGGGAAACCACATGAGATGGAACAAAATTCATATCGTTTTAAATTGAATTTCAAAGACAATATTTAGATATTGGTAGGCCTGGCAATAATGGCTGTAGTAGTATGTACCGACCAAGATTGACCGGTTTTTGCCAGATCTACAAAGAGACATGGTATCTGGCATTATGATAATTTATTTTATAATACCACCCTTATGAAAAGTATGTCTCCTCATTGCCCTGTACTGTACTCTTGACAAAATATCGCGTCACTGGAATGCCACCAGTTTTGAAAGAGGGTGGATTAGTGTATCCTTAAACAAACCCTACCCTCATTATTATTTTAGCATACCAATCAGTATTACTAAAATTTTATCTTCATAATAAAACTTGATAAATGTTCTTTACTACCCATAATATTTTAAAGGTGATATTTTATTCGTTTTTGTTGTTGTTTTTTTTTCTTGTTTGTAATTTTTTGTCTTTTTCAAGCAAGCTAGCGAGAGATTCTTTACTTCCGTATGATATTTTAAAGATGAAATTTTTTTTTTTTTGTTTTTGCTTGTTTCTTTCATGATGTTACTGACATTCTCGCAAAATATCAGTGACCCTATTTGTAGACTTACTTTCCCAATTATCAATTAACTTAATACCGAAGCCATTTCATCATCAAACCAAATAAGAAACGAAGTCCTACGATGTCATACAGATCGACCAATCAGTCCTTTCTAGAAGGCACGTGATATTTTCCCATAATATTTTATTCCGATCTGAAAACTGATTGACTGATAGGTTTATACATATTCAGGCACATTTACATATACACACAGGGATATAGTGGCATACACATGCAAGCACGCATATATATATATATATATATATATATATATATATATATATATATATATATATATATACATACATCTGTGGGGTATGTTTGAGTAGTGGGCAGAAAATATTCCTATCGTTAATGTAATTAAAACAAGACAAGCTAAAATTTTCCAGCTTGCTTTCCTGTCTGTATAAAATGAATTACATAAAACATACGTCTTTCTATTTTATATTTCTTAATTTACTTGATAAAAATAATTTATTTCTTTATATATATGTATGTGTTTTTATGTTTTGTATATGTATGTTTATATATATATATATATATATATATATATATATATATATATATATATATATATATATATGTATGTATGTTGGCATGCGTATGTTTATATATTAGTTTATTGATTTTCCATGTTTGTGCAGTTTTGACGGGTAGTCTGCGCTGTCTCTAGTTATTTGGATGATTGAATCTTGATGAGACTTTTTTATTTATCGTTCGTATATTTGCGTGCTCATATATTCAATCATATTTAAGTGTTTGAGTATTATGACGTGATGTCTGTCTGTCTTGTCACCAGAAAAACTTTCTCTCTCGTCCACTAAATCTCTAATCAAAACCCTGTCAAGGCAACAAATTTTATAGCCATATATTTCACCTCTTACTCTTTTGTAGCCGTATATTTCACCTCTTACTCTTTTGTAGCCGTATATTTCACCTCTTACTTCCACTCAGATTCGAACGGAAAACTCAGCATATTACTAAGAACAATACATGAAAATTTAAGCATATTTCTCAGTGTTTTTCTTTGAATAACTTTGTGAGTTTCTAAACTTGATGCGTGATTATTTTAGAGTTTAATATTCGTAACTTTTAATTTTTTTAATTACATAATAAATAGGAGATTAATTAGTTATCCTGATTTCCTATATAATCTAATATTAATTTCAAAGCATTAATAAATTGTGTCTAGGGTACGTTGTCGCGTTATTTGACATATATACTTTTAATTTGATTGACCATTACATCTTACGTAAAAATATTTCTCCTAGTTGGAAATGGCAGCTTTTAAACTCGTTAAATCGTTTTATTATTATTATTATTATTATTATTATTATTATTATTATTATTATACAATCAACACCATCACTTGACAAGAAAGCAGAAGTGTTGAAACAAAATGGCAATAATGTTTAATTAAATATTATTCGCTCTATTTTATATTCAGCTTTTTTATTAAAATAGTGTTTTCGGTTACTAGAATTTTATTCCATTTATACCAAACTTATATATTTATTTAATAATTTATTTTGGTCTGGGAAAGTAATGATAGCTATTTTTTCCTCCAAAAAAAGTTTGCAAGTTTTTGATTGGTTGTTGTAGGCTGGTGATCTTTTCCTTATTTTCCAAGATATTTTTGGTGTGATGTGGGTTTTGTTTTTAATTTCCCAGATATACTTAGAAAGCATTGTACTGTTCGCATATTTACTATTTGTGAAAGATGTTTTGTGTGTATAATTTCGTTGTTTCCAGGGTCCTGCAGTTACTCCTATGTATACTTTTTCTTCATTATCTGGTGATTTTATCGTGGCTTGGTATATTACGTTGTTTTGTAAACAATTTCCGTTTAAGGGACATTCGTTTTTTATTCTGCAGTTGCACGTGGGTTTAATTTGTTCGTGTGGTTTGTTGATAATTTTCCTGTTGTGCTTTTTTATTATTTGTGCCATGTTCTCGGTGCAGCTGTAGCTGATTTTTACTGTGTTTTTGTTGAATATTTTGTGTGGGGTGCTTGATTTTGGGAAGTGTTTGTGTAACAGTTTAAAGAATATTTTTTCTACGTTTGTTTTTATGTTCTTGCTGTACGATGGGTTGAACCATATGATATTTCTTCTCCTGTTGGCCTTTTTTTGTGTTTTGTGGTGAGTATGTGAGTGTTGCTGGGAATTCGCTATCTTTTAGGGCTGTTTCATAGTCTTTCTTAGCTTTGTTAAATATGGATTCATTAGAGGAATTGTCGGAAAGCCTGCGGTTAATCGATTTTGGTATCTGTTTGAGTATAGAAGGCGGGTGGTTGGAAGATGTGTGTATGTAGAGTGGTTTATCATTAGGTTTTCTATATGGTTTATATGTGCCTTTTGTTAGGTTGAAGGTAACATCTAGAAAATCTACTTCGTTTAGATTAGTTTTTATATCTATGTCGAATCCGTTGTTTTTAAAAATCTTTATTATTGCTTTTCTGGTTTTGCCTGTGTTTTGTTTGTTACAGTTTCTTGAGATTATGAGACCGTCGTCCCTGTAGAGTCCTGTGTCATTTCTATCTATTATTTTGCTCAGTTCGTGTAGGAAGTAAATACCTATGATTTAGCATGTCTCTTGCACCGTCAAAGCTTCCCATTGTAGTGTCAAATATCCCATCTTTCTTTATCCATGCTTCTTCATTGTGGAATAATAACGATTTACGGGAGTGCTTAATGATGTTGATTTCGCTTGATTTTATTATTATTTGTTCCTGAGCTAAGTTGATGGCCTTATCTAACATGCGTTCTGTTATGGATGGGTAAAATTATTTTATGTCTAATTGTAGGAATTGGCAATTTTGTTTGTTATTTATGTTGTGGAACCAGTCAATAGTTGTTTTTGTATTTTTCCACTGGTTTACTCCTAACTTCTTCCTAAGTTCAGAATTAATTCTTTCTAGTATTGTTTTACTTATTTTACCTAGATCGCTTTTGGCTGGGTTTATGAGTCTACATGCAGGGTTAGTTTTGAAATTTTCTTTATGGTCTTTTAGTGTGATACAGCTTATTCGGTCATCTAGGTCTAATTTTTGAGAGATTGTTTTAGCTTCCTTATTGATATCGTGTTCTATTGTTTTGGGTGCCTTTTTGTATGTTTTGGTTATGTTGTTCTTGAGTATTTTGTTGTGCGTAGGAGGGCTTAGTTTGTATAAATTTCTCGTTTTGTTAGCAGCGATAAATACATTTGCTGAATTGTTTAGTTATATCTTCTTTCAGTTTTTTTTTTTTTTTTTTTTTGAATGCATCTTGTTTTTGTTCAGATAGCACAACTTGCAAGTAAACCAAAACCCGAGAAGAAATTTGAAAAAAAAAGGAAGAACTAGAAACATCCAAACAGGGCGAAACAAATCGATCAACGCCTTAAGTTTCTAGTCCAAAGAAAAAAAAACCAAGTGAGTAACAAATCTAAAACGTAGAGTCCTCGATACGCTACGTAGAGCTGGAATAAATAAAATAAATCCTAAAGAGCCAGGAACAACCTACCTACCTTTCACATAAACGGATCTTCAGGATTTATCATATTCATATATATATATATATATATATATATATATATATATATATATAAACATTTCACCCCAAAGAAGGCGGGA